GATGCGCCGCGAAAGGAGCGGACGCGGAGGCCACGTGGTACGTGAGCCGCGAGTGTGAAACGCCCAGAACGGGAAACCGGCGGCGGAGAGCGGGGGGTAGACTGGCGCCCGAGGCTGGACAGGCGCTCAGGGCTGCAGGGAGCCGCGGGCGGGCCCCCAGCCCTCCTGGCTGAGGCCCTGCGGGCCTGGGCGGCGGCGACCGTGGGGAATGCGCGGGAGACCGAGGTCGCCCCGCAGGGCAGTGCCCCCAGGCCCGGCAGTCCCGCGCCCGCCGGTCACCGTCGGTCTCCTGCTCAGGGGCCTTTAGAGCAGCTTTTTTCATGATTCCCAAAACTCGGAAACACCAGGGTGTCCTCAGCAGGTGCACGGGAAAGTAAATGGTGGTACATGAGACGGTGGAATATTACTTAGCATTAGAAAGAAATGAGCTATCAGGCCATGGAGAGACACGGAATATTACTCAGGGAAGGAACCCAATCTGAAAAGGCTACATACTGTATGATTCCCACTATATAACCTTCAGGGAAAGACAAAACTATGGAGACGGTGAAAGATCAGAGAACGGGCTGGGGAGATGAACAGGCAGAGCAAGGAGGATTTTTAGGGCCGTTTAAAACTACTCGGCGTGACACTATGACGTCAGATAGATGTCATTACACATTTGTCCAAACCCACAGAATGTACACTGTGGACTCTGGGTGATTGCACTTGGTCAGTGTCGGCTCATCAATTAACAAACATTCCTCAGCAATGCAAGATAGTAACAATAGGGGGGCCCGGCCAGGCATGGCTCAGCAGTTGAGCATCTATCTAGGACCCAGATCTCAGTTCGATTCTCGGTCAGGGCACATGCCCAGGTTGTGGGCTCAATCCCCAGTCGGGGGCATACAGGAGGCAGCCCATCAATGACTCATCATTGATGTTTCCATTCTCTCTCCCCCTCTCCCTTCCTCTCCCTGAAATCAATAAAGATATATTTTTAAAAAATAAATAATAGGGGGAATAGATGGGTGGGGGAGAGGGGAGTATAAGAGAATGTACCTCCGGCAGTTTTTCTATAAAAATAAGGTCTAGCCCGGCCGGGCGTGGCTCAACGGTTGATCGTCGACCTAGGATCCAGGTGATCAGGGTCCGATTCCTGGTCAGGGCACATACCCGGATTGCGGGCTCGATCAATGACTCTCTCATCATTGATGTTTCTATCTCTCTCTCTCCCTCTCCTTTCTTCTCTCTGAAATCAATAAAGATATATTTAAAAAAAAAAAATCTTAAAAAAAAAAATATATATATAAAAATAAAAATAAGGTCTATTAATTTAGCAACAGCAAAATGCCATGATTGTCTCCATCCCCTTTGGGCATTTGTTTGTTACTAACCCATAGGAGCCCCACAGAGCAGATGGGGCAGTACAGGCCTCAGTCCCCACCCAGCTGGGCCCTTCCTGTCTGGGGACGAGTGCGGCTCTTGAGGAAGCCAGCCCGGAGGAGGACCCTGCCTTAGGAAGCCCCACCTTCACTTCCTCTGCTACCTCTCCATGAACTTTCGCTTTATGTTGCGGTTAGCTTTTTTGGTAATTTAATGGGTTATTTTTAACTTATAAAAACATTATGTAGTTGAAAAAATGCACAGCCTACAACTCAACATTAGAAAGAGGTACCACCCAATTCAAAAATGGCCACAGGACTTGAATAGACATTTCTCCAAAAAGGACCTACAAAAAGATGCCCAAGGTCACTGATCATGGTGGACATGGGAACCTACACCTCAGCACGTATAGAATAAAGAAACGGAGGCCAACTGGCGCTAGTGAGGATGTGGAGAAATCGGGTGGGGACGGAAATGGCCTTGCTGCCGTGTAAAGTCTAGCGCTGGTTCCCCATAGTTGTACACAACCTGCATTTCTCTCCAGGTGAAGCCCTGGAGAACCCAGAGGTAGGCGTCCCCCAGGGCCCAGGTGAGCAGGTTCCACTGGGACATGGCCAGGGGGACACACCCACAAACCCCCAGCCAAACCTGGCCTATGTGCAGGGCCAACCCAGGTGCTGCTGCAGAATGCTGGGGGGCAAGGGGAGGCGGGGCTGAGGAAACGGGACAGACTGGGGACAGTGACAAAGCAGTCATAACAGCAACTCAACAATTCCAAAGGTTTATTTCCTTAAATTGATGTTACACAATTTAACACAACTGGGGGGAGGGAATCACACAAATTCCTTTGAAGTAGACAGTCGAGTACTGTCTCCTGGAGAGCAGGGTCGGCTGGCAGTACATACCAGGAGGCCCACGGGACACGCTCGGTGCCACTAACTGAGGGGCTGGGAAGGAGGCTCCTCCCATGGAGTCAGCCGACCATAAAGCAATAAATAGGAACATGTCCTGTGCAGCAAGGAAAAAATAAAGTCACAGGGCTTCTTCTAAGTCCAAGAACAGGGCAATATTCAAGTAGTATTGCAAAGATACACACATAGACCTCTGACTGGGTCTGTGGTGTAGACCTTAACCCCTGGCCAGGTGCCTGGGCTCACCCGGGTTGCTCTGCACTCTGGGGATACACTCAAGGGGGCTGGGCAGACCAGGGAAGCCCCCTGGAGCCCAGAAGGTGGACCTTTCTGACCCCTCTGATGGCGGCCAGGACCTGGTGGGGGAAAGGAGAGGAGGGATTCGACATCAAAACCTACTGAGAAAGCTGGATGGGGAGGTTTTTGCACAAAACACTCTCCCCTCACCTGTCTTTGTGGCAGGGGTCCCGATACCCTAACAGGGTGGGGCAGCAGGACAGCCAGCCATGCAGGCACGTGTGCCTGCCATGTCCCCTCCACCCTTCCAAAACAAACGTTCTAAACATCTATAAGTTTTCTTCTTTAAACAAAAAAAGAGCTGCAGAAAAATAAGACACATTTTCTGAGTCAAGTGTGAAAGACTGCCACGTCTGCTCTGGGTTTAGAAAGCTCGGTGCGTCGTACTGTGTGTCCCTAAAGAACATTTAAATAAGATGCTGTGTCTCCCCGAGGGCCGGGGAGCGGCACAGCAGGCTGTGTATATGTATATATGTATATATGTATATATGTACACGGTGTGTACACGTGCCCCTGGTGCGACAGCCAGGGCTGGCAGGCAGTCCTGGGGCCAGTCCGCCTGCATAAAGTGCTCGGTGATTTCACAAAGCTGGGTGGTGGTCTCAGGGAAGGAGAGGGGCCAGCAGCCTGAACCTTTTCCTGGGCAGGCCCCGGGCAGGTGTGGAGGCTTTGGCTTGAGTGGGCCCCTGCTTGTCCTCAGCAGGGCTGTGCTGGGCGTGGCCAGGGTGGGGGGATGCCCACACCTCCCCACCACCCTGGAGGCAGCCGGGGACCAGACTGGGTTGAGGTTCTGTGCAGGCCCTCGGGTGCCAGCCAGAGCCCAGGAAACAGACATGGCTGGAGACAAGCTCTCGCCGCACGGCCGGGAGACTGTCCTTGCCCAGCACCAGGGAGCAGTACCCAGGCTGCAGACTTGTCCCTTGCAGCCCACCCATGGGATCTCCAGAAAAGGTCCAGCCGCGGGGCACAGCAGGCAGGCTCCCGGGAGGTCAGGCACACACGCCGGTCAGCAGGGCCCAGTCAACAGGGCCGAGAGTCTCCGTTCAATGCACAGCTTGCCTGAGGGGAGGAGGGCCCATGAGCACTGCC